CACACACACACACACAAGCGTGTTATAAACAATGTATGCTTATTTATATAATTATTGAATTCAAAATTTTTACTGATTTAAAGATTGGGAAACTGAAAGAAAACTTTCCTAGTTAAAGAATCAACAACGACGAAAAATTTCGGAAGCTTTTCGTTTCGTGACAATTGAGGAATCACTTTGATGCACTGTTTTGCTTCACAACGTCTTCGCAAGAAATGATTTAATTTTATCCTATAATATGAGTTTATTTACAAAATAAATAATTTATATAACTTATAAATTTATATATTTATCAGATAATCATTGTAATCTTTTTATATAAAATTTACAAAAATAGTTTGATATATGCTAAGCAACATTTGATAATCACTTTGACACTTTCACTAATTTTATTATAAATAATTAAATTTCAAGTCGATCTATTATATATTTATAACCGACATTTTATGGTTAATTATCATTTATTGTAATCTCGATTATAAATATTAGATATTAAGAGATTAGATGTTAATTTAATTCCGTTTAATTTCAAATTTCCGTTCCTAAAATTTGCGAAAATAAGATTTATCTAATAAGCGATAAATTTAGCAAAAGATCTTTTACCATTCGTGTAACATCACATTTTAATTTGCATATATAAATACATACATACAAAGAAACATATACATATGTAAAATTTCCTATTTTTTATTTTTAAATAGCTTCCTATTTAAATGTTTTATTGAATTAATAATATCAATAAAATATAAAATTAACAAAATAATTTTAAAGAATGTAAATCTATTAGTAATAAATGAATAAGAATACAACAATTACAAAAAGCGTTAGATTGCAAAGAAGTACTACAATATTTAATTGTTATTTTAAAACATTCGATGAATTCCATTTTATTGACAAATGTCGCGTATGTGTTCTCAATTTACTTATCAATTTGGAAACTCCAAGTAATTCCAACGTCTAATCAATAACGGTATCGCCTTGCTGTATTCTCCGTTTATTTGATCAAAACAATAGCTCGTGACCAATCTAAGAAATAAACTGGATCACGAAGCACAAAAGTAGATGCGGAGCAACGAGCGAAGGTCTCCAGTACGATAATTGAATCGACCTTTATCGCTGTGATGCTGAGAGCATTGTTCTCCGGTATCTTCTATTGGATAGTGAGATTTGGTGCGTTTCCATGATTACCGTCACGGTAGAGCAAAGGTATCAAAGGCATCCTCGTTCGAGGATGCGACGGGAACGGCGTTACATTTCCTCCTGAGCATTGCACGCACATTTGCGATGCTCGTTGAATTTATGACTACTTTACAACAAGTCTTGCAGAGTACGCCGACTCCGACGGGAAATCGCTATTCATTGATTTCATTCGAATCATGACTGATGAGTAAAACAGCGTGTACTTAAAAACAGTTTGTCGTGAAGACATGTCATATAATTTACAAATGTTGCTACAGAAGATATTATTCATGAAAATTAAATATGTGCGCTATGCATATTGTGTTAAAAGAATGTTAACATGATATCCTGTACGTAAAAATGTAATATGTGAGAACCGTGAATTGCGAAAATAGCGAAAAATATATTTAAAAATTCTATAATTTCGATAGAAGGAGCCCCCGTGTATACATCGCCCGTTCTCTTCTTGTGAGATTGAAATTAACTCCACTATTATTTAAGGGCGTTCGACAGGTTAACGTACGATCTATAAAAAAAGCGTGAACTCGCGTTTGCTAGTGAAAATCGCCTTGCCTTGGCCCGTAGGATCGAGTATAGATCGTGCGACGGGTTAAGTGAAAAATGAGTTCGTGACAGGAGGATAAGAGAAGAGAGTGAGACTAAATGAAAAATGAAACAAAGCCAAATTGGCTCGTCCCGAAAATCCACGAGCGTGTAAAGAAACAAGAAGAGGACTCATCTCAAAAAGCCACGCGCCTTGACGATCCCGCCCGGTCCAGGTGAAGTTCGGAACAAGTTTTGTACACGAGCCCGGTATGTATCTTTATGAACTTTTTTTTCGAAAAACTCTGATTATCCAGAAAATCGTAATCGCATTAACGCATAGTTAAGGACCGTGTTGCTGTTTGAAAATTAATAGGTAGCAACGCTTTCAAAAATATATCTCCCTTGAAAGAAGAGCGGCAGGCGGATCTACTCCTTAAGGATATATTTTATAAAGAAGCAACTACGTTCATAGAGAGAGCTCCATAATTATCACGAGATTGTGAAAATCGGGAAAAGTCGCTACTGAGACAACTTGGTTTTTCTTAATAATTATCTTTAAAACAAGAAAGAAATTTTTATTCTAAGAAAATATGCCAGTGTAAGATTTGTTTATTCATTACATTGACCCAAATGTGATGGATTTAAGTGTAAATAATATTATGTTTCTGTTTCGTTTCATATAGTTTTTGGCATATGAAAAATGACTATTATAAATAAATTTGATTTTGGTAGAATATTTTTGTTTACTTTTGTAAAATTTCAGTTCTGGTTTTGAAATGCTACATT